GTAGTAGTAGTAGTAGTAGTAGTAGTAGTAGTAGTAGTAGTAGTAGTATCAGTAGTAGTAGTAGTAGTAGTAGCAGTAGTAGTAGTAGTATCAGTAGTAGTAGTATCAGTAGTAGTAGTAGTAGTAGTAGCAGTAGTAGTAGTAGTATCAGTAGTAGTAGTATCAGTAGTAGTAGTAGTAGTAGTAGTAGCAGTAGTAGTAGTAGTATCAGTAGTAGTAGTATCAGTAGTAGTAGTAGTAGTAGTAGCAGTAGTAGTAGTAGTAGTAGTAGTAGTAGTATCAGTAGTTGTAGTATCAGTAGTAGTAGTAGTAGTAGTAGTAGTAGTAGTAGTAGTAGTAGTAGTAGTAGTATCAGTAGTTGTAGTAGCAGTAGTAGTAGTAGTAGTAGTAGTAGTAGTAAAGGTAGTAGTATTTTAACTGCTTCGCTCTGTTTAAGAAGCTGATCACGTTTTATTTGAAGCCATTATTTTACATTAAGCAGCTGTTTGAGACTGAAGGCAGATGGTGGTGTATCAGACGTGTCCACTAGATGGAGCCGTTAAAAAAGGTACAGAGCTGAAGTCAAGCAGAAACTACTGTGAATGGACTCGTCCAGATGTGGTCCACACGGGTCCTACAGGGACATTTTACTGGACAAAGACCTGATTGAGGGACTCAGTGAAAGATTTATAACTTAAATATGTTCAGTCACATCTTTTAGGATTTTCATTTGTGTGTTAGTTAAACAAATCGACCACTCAACGCAGTAAAATCATTTTGTAAATGAGAGGTTGTTYTCAAACAGTTTACCTGGATAAATAAAGGTTAAATAAATTAATTAATTTTATTTTGTGGGATATATTAAAGTTTCCCAGCCTGCCTAACCTGAGTAAAGCTACAGACATGAGCTGAACGACAGAAGGTCATGGTCTGTGGAAAGATCATGAACAATCAATATCTTACCTGTTGTAGATAACTCTTTGGAGAACTCAGTTTTGAAAAACTAGATATTAATTCTGACTGTACTGATGAGCTAACAGCTAGTCTGAGTGAGACAAATCACACTAGTTAAATTTTTTATAAAAGTTACCAACTGCAGCTTTAACTGGTGAAACTAGTGAATTTTGTCTGCAGTCGTCCTCCTCTCTAAGACACAAATGTTTGTTTTGTTTKTTTTTTTTTTTGTTATAGAAAATGACGTAGCTACTGTTCCATCTTCAACGCAACAGTTTTAAACTTCTGGTTTGAGAAAAATGAAAAGACAAACCATTTTTGGAGAATAAAATGAAAATAGAATAACCAACTATCTTTTTATATTTGATATCTGTTTTCAAAACAAAATGACAAATCACCAAAAAGTATGCGGATGGAGATATTTTAAGAGAAGCTCATCAGGCAGGTTAGAAATAGACCATTTCTCCAAGCTGAGGCCAGTTGGTAAGATATTATTTGTTCACATCTTTTCCACTGACCATCCCTGTTAWGGCTCTGCAGCAGTGAAACTTTACAAACAGCCACTGGAGCTCATAATGAACTGATGTGAGACGAGAAGAAACAGACTTACGGTTTTACAGCCGGTGTTTTTGCACCGYGTCCCGTACATGACACTCTGACCCTCTGTTAGACACAAAAACAGAAATTCATCAGGTTTTACTGGGCTTAAAGCTTTTCTTTTGTTTTTGTTTAAAAGAATGAAACATTTTTCATGGTTCACAAACTCCAAGACAACAAAATGTATTTAACAGCTTAATGTGACTGTATGTACAAACAGGAATGTGGATTTTTAATCCCATCATTAAAGAAAAGTCGTTTGTGTTCAGAAACGTGCTGAAATGTTTCCTTTCAGCAGTGAACACATCAGGGATGCGTTCAGGGACCGTGGGGAACTGACCTTTCTGCTCGCTCTCTGTTGTCTTACTAATGCCCAGATTTTCCAGAGCTTGAAGCAGCGACGCTGAGACTTTGTGGGGCAGCTTGGTCATGGGCTCATCAGACCTGCACACATGGGTTTGTTTTTACAGCTCTGTGGGGACGATGGATCGACTTCAATTCATTTTTTGGTAATTTTATATCCAACCCGTTTACCCTAAAATTAGCCTCACAGGTAATAACACTGTAAAACACAGTAAAAGAACAAAGTGTCATTTTAAAACATATAGAGTTAAGTTTAACTGTTTCATATAATATTTGGACCCACTCAAAATGAGTGTAAAATGTACTCTATAGTCAGTGTCAACTTTTCAGAGTTCATTTATTCTTTTTAGTGTCAAAACCAACAATGAATCGAGTGAAAAGATTTAACACTATAGTTTGTTTACACTCTACAGAGCAATAATATTATTTTTATTATGCTAATTTTACACTAAATTTACTTTAAAAAGTATACTTTATTGTGTAATACTATTATTTACTTTTTCTTTTTACACAGTATGAGTCAGGGTACACAGAGTTCTGCATTATATCCTAGAGTTATAATCAGTTCTTGTAATGTTGTATTAACACTGGTTATTATATCGGGTAAGACAACTGTCAGAATCATTATATGTGTAAGAGTCTAAATTTGTACATGTAAGTCTATAAATGTACATGAATATGTTACAACTTTGCCACATTACAAGTACGAATCAAATTTACAAGTACAATTCTCATGTGAGAATACAAGTTTTTAAGTTACAAATACAAGTTGAAAAGTTACAACTTACACAACTTACACATTACAAATACGAATCAAATTTACAAGTACAATTCTCATGTGAGAATACAAGTTTTTAAGTTACAAATACA